AGAAGGTGTGCAGGCTGAGAACGGGTGACTAGCCTACCTGGCATAACACGGGCGGAAACAGGTTCTACAGGATGCCTCTATGTGCGCGAGCTTTGGCATCTAGCTAGCTTCTATGCTACATGTAATGTCCTAGCCTTGTTGCACTAGAATAGCCTAGTGTGCCTGTAGATCTATCATCTGCATCTGCATGCAACTTATACCATATCAATGCAGGACTGCTTGAGAGAGAGGAGAGGAGAGGAGAGGAGAGGAGGGAGAGGAGAGGAGAGGAGAGGAGAGGAGAGGAGAAACGTAGAGGAGGGGGCTAGTGCAAGTAAACCCCCCTTCCTTCCTCCAGACCCTTCCCCACCCAGGGTAGTCCCTGCAGAATCCATACCGCCATCCCCTCAGCCTCCCCTCCCCTTTCCCCCCTCCCCAACACGACAGTTACAGCAGGTACTGTTGCAACGAGGAGGAAGAGGAAAGGGAGGGACGGGGTTTCAAGGGGGTTAAGCGCCCCATCAGCCGCGGGCGCGAGTACCGCCACAGCCCTTCCATAGCGTCCGCCGCGGATGGGCCAACGAGGGGCAGCGACGGCCGCCACAAGTGCTGATGTTGAAGTTTGATGCGTGGGGCTGGGGTCTGGAATGGAGGACGAGGGGGGGGGGGGAAGGATTGGGGTGGCTTGCCGAAGGTCACACTGAGCGGGACGGGGCGACGAATGTGCGGCGGGTCGACGGACGGGATGGAGCGTTCGGGGCGACGAATGTTCTGCGCGTCGACGGGGCTGCGGGTGACGGGGTGACGACCTGGGCGAGCGACGCAACGACGAAAGGGGCCAGCGCGAACGGGGTGCGATGCCGTCTCACTGCTGGTGTGCTCGCCACAGGCCGCTGGCGCGTTCCCGACATGCAAAACGGGATGGGCGGGTCCACGGGCAGAGCGCGACGGGAGCAATGCGGGGCGCGTTATGATGAACGCGACAGGTGGTCCCATTTGAAATTTCGGCCCGCAGGATCTAACACTCTGATAATATGTCAACGTACGAATATTATTAGAGCATAAGACCATGGCGAGAGATTTGGGAGCAGCGTGAGCAAGAGTGAGGGTAGCGAGAGTGTTGGCCAGAAGGGGTGGTTTCACTATAGGTGTGCAACAACATATAGCAAAGAACAAGAAGCAAATGGCACACCACCAATAGGAAACAAGGCATAACTACAGTAAACTACACAACAAGCAATTTATGTACATATATTTATCAAGTTAACATTTTTTTCAGGGACTGGATCAAATCCAATTATTTTGAAACTTTAATAAAAATGGTTGCTCATTATGTCCCTGAGGTAAAATCAGTCGATATTAGGGAACATTCCTAAGGGGACACAAGTGTCTTAATGCTCTTTTTCCCGAGTCGCATCGAAGGTAACATTTTGTCAACCTCGCGTCACAAAATTTGAATGTATCGCGGCACTATGCAACTAGGCAAAATGCACAGTTGTGTGCATTTGATTGGGTGACAATACACCCGTTTTTTCAACCTCCGGGCATGGGCAAGGTTTCGATGCGCGGGATTTTTTCCCTCGCAAAATTGGCATTGCTGGGTGTCCAGGTGCATGTGGTTGTGTCGGGCATTTCGAGTCGCATGCGATTTTCCAACAATGATGGGTCTATTCACAATTTGTCAGCGACGTCAGCGCGTTTCACGATGACCAATTAAAAAGTACAGTAATGGTCCTTGAAAGGCGACTCACGTTTGGGATACAATACAGTTTATGTTGTTTCTGGGTGTCACAAAGTGATTGAGACAGAAGTGTCCCCACAGAAATGTTCCCTTATTACCAAAGAACTGAGTAACATTTATGTTGTAGGTTCTAAGGCAAGGGTCTCGCTAGCAAGAGATTTTCTCCTGTTTGTCTGATTATCAGTTCTTATTTTAGGGGTTTATCTGATATATTAGAAATTGGGTTTTGTAATTTCTGTTAAGAAAGGAACGAGTTTTCCATTTTACATGACGAGAAAGACACACATTTCCCCGTTCTTCTGATTCATCAGGGACCAGTTTCGGTTTAGTCTCATATCGATAACAATTTTGTAGGCGAGGTTTGCGCGTGAAAGTTTCCTATATGTATTGTTTTTGTTTCTAAAACACCCTTCTCTAGTCGTTCAGTTGGTATGCGTCAACCTCATTGTTGTGTAGACGTGTCAAATCTTGCTACGCACATACTTTCTTACATTATGTCGTTTCATGTTTCAGCGTTTTCCCCGAACCCCAAACCCTGCTCATTCACTAGTTCAGAGCACTATGCAATGACAAGGGCACATTAAAAAAAAAAAAAAAAAAAAAAAAAAAACACACACACACACACACACACACACAGAAATTGAGTTTACATTTTTCCTGATTCAGCACAATACTTTTCTAGAAATTTCTGATGCATCAGCCAGAAAAAACACACAGCATTTGATGAATCAGACGGGCTCGGAGGGCCCATCTGATGCATCACGCGGGTTCAAAACCTAGGGATAGCCCTGCTCTAAGGAGCTACAAGAACCTACAAAATATGAGGTTAAAAATCCTATAAATTTAGAAACAGAAGATGATGCTCTAGCTAGCCACATTCCCCACGAGCTGTGTCAGGTCTGTATACACTGCGCACTGTATCTCCTTAAGTTGTTGCTTCTGGTCAGGTAGTCTTCTCTTGCTCTTGTCTGTCTCTCACCCACCCGTCACTTCTACGGCACCACCATTCAGGTAAACCCGCTTTGTCACATGGCTCAGCTCGGTCTTGTCTCAAGTCTCCCGTTGTCGCTCCCATGCACTCCTTGCGTTGAGGGTCGGCAGCGTGCTGACCCTCACTCCTCCTCCTTTCCTCGTACCACTGCTCCTCTTTAGACCCTGCACATGGACCTCTGGGGCCCTGCCCCCTTCGCTGGACCGTGCAGCGAGCGCTACTTCTTAGTAGTCGTGGACGACTACTCCCGCTACACCACAGTGTTTCCCTTGGCGCGGAAGGCCGACGTGCCCGACACGCTCTTCCCATGGATGTTCGCGCCCAACGTGCTTGTCCTGTGCTTTGTATGCATACTGACCGTGGTGGTGAGTTCGCCTCGCTAGAAGCCCCCGCGGGCCCCTCATGCCATCCCGTCGCCTCCCCCCACCCCCCCTCCGTCACCTATTTCACCTCCTCGCCTAGCCCGCCGCGCCCCCCTTGTTAGGTTGTCATGACACTCATTCCTCCGTCCCGCTGCCTTTGCCACACGCTACTAGTGGCAGCAACCCGCTAGCCCACCACCAACGTGACGCCCTGCACACAGCCGCGCTACGACACCAGTGACAGTATTTGGAGCAGCCACTGCAGTGCATCGCCAGCCAGCTGTTATAGTCACAATAGGCTTACAACAACACGAAACACGACAACACGTTGCGGCCGCAAATTGGAGCAGTTACAACAACGTTGTTTCAGCAGCAGAACGTTTCGACGTAATCACGATCGGAACAAGGCGACTTCATGGACGAGCTAGACGACATGGAGGACGCTTGGCTACCCCCACGTGCGCCGACCCGATGGAACTCGATCGAATCGACGCGAAGGAAAGACCAAAGAAGAACGAATCTAAGTATTCTTTCTACGGCAAGCCGGCACATCGACTCATCGATTGTGACGAAATGAAAACCGCACGTTCCACGCTTCTGAACCGCAACAGTGGAGCAAATTCAATGCAAAAGTTGAAGGATCGTGGAGTGAATTCTTCAGCCCACGAACAGACTCTACCAGGGAAAATCGCCGAGAAAAATAAAATCTCCGCGAAACAAGACCCTGCTGGATCCGGACAACTCCAAAAAGGCCCTATTAACAGTAAGCACTCCTTAAAATTATCATACAAGGATGCCCTACTTGGGGAAAAACTCCTTGGGTCTACGGCCTTGGTAAAATACCGAGAGAGGCTGAAGAAGAAAAAAATAATGTACCGGTACGACAACTGCAGCAGCTGCGCATGGGGAACCAACAACGGAGCGTGGAAGATCGACCTTCCAACGACGACATCGTTCTCTCTCGGAACAACCAGCCTACGTCAACCAACTGGTCCCCACGGAAGAAGTCGGCTGCGCCGAAGCAGCTCAAGAGGGAGCTGGAGGTCAACATGAAGCCGCGACGACCTCAAACCTCTTCTACAGATGCATCTGCAACATCTGCAACATCTACCCTACGAGGGAAGTCTAGTAGCTCGAGAACCACGTCGTCGACGACAACAAAAAATCATGGCAATAGGGAAAGGCAGGACCGGCCACTTGCCACCTCAGGAGAAAACACGGAGCTGTGGGATATGCCCTATGATCCTATTCTCAAAGAGGCGATCAACGGGTACAGCGAGCACCGGCGACCACTTCTGCTCGAGGTGATCTGCAATGGACGACGCCTCCAAGCACTCGTGGACATCGGAGCACCCCATTCAGTATGCGACAAAGCAACCCTCGAACGCATCAATGAGGAGTGCACGCCTTCAAGTTGCACAGCTACGATGGTTGATAGAAGCAAGTTACAAGTCTACGGCGAAGTAGCGTTACACTTGCAGATGGGCCCTCTTCGCTGGAAACCGACTCTACCCGTCACCAACATGAAAGGGCTAGACTTGATCCTTGGGAGAGACTTTCTGAAGAAGTTCAACCCCGAGATCAACTGGGTCACCCGCACAGCGAGTATCTACAATCAAGACAGAGAGGGTCCACTTCCGAGTTGAAGAACATGGGAGATATTCCGGAGGAGACTCTCGCACGCTTCGAGAAGGACGTGAAGCGAACCATGGCAGGGTTTGTTGCACAAACAGACGAAGATGAGGCAGAGGAGAAGACACCTGAGCTTCCACCTGCTATCCAGAAACTTCTGGAGGAGTTTACAGATGTTCTCCCTGACAACCGTCCAAACCAGTTGCCACCATATCAAACCCACCAGCATGAAATCGTCGAAGAAACTGGTTCGAAACTGACCTTCCGAGCACCAAATCGACTCACACCTACCGACATGAAGAAGCAGATCGAGTACCTCCTGGACAAGGGACTCATTCGACCATCGACATCGCCATACGGTGCACCCGTACTCTTCACGCCAAAACCCGAGGGAAGCTTACGCATGTGCATCGACTACCGAGCTCTCAATAAGCAGCAAGTATCCCATTCCTCGGATCAACGATCTGCTTGACTAGCTTTGGGAAGCTACAATATTCTCCAAACTTGATTTGAGATCGGGATATTGGCAGATCCGGATGGCGGATAACTCCATCCACAAGACGGCATTTCAGACACGATACGGATCCTACGAGTACCTCGTCATGCCGTTCGGTCTCACCAACGCACCCGCTACATTCCAGGTCGAGATTAACCATATTTTCAGGGCTCTACTCGACGAATGCGTGGTGGTGTACCTACTCGAAGGACATGAAGCAGCACATCGAACACCTACGACGCGTCTTCGCGTCTTCTACGTCAAGTTATCTAAGAGCGAGTTCGCTTTGAAGAAAGTTCAATTTCTTGGACACATGGTGAGCGCTCAAGGTGTACATGTGGACCCAAAGAAGATCGAAGCCGTACGTACGTGGAAGGCGCCGGAGAACGTTAAAGAACTTCAACAATTCCTTGGCTTTGCGAACTATTACAATCGATTCGTGCCACAAAATGCGAAGATTGCAACACTTCTCACCAACCTACTAAAGAAGAATACACCGTTCAGGTGGGAGGATGTAGATCAGCAAGCCATGGAGCAGTTGAAGACCGCACTCACGTCCGCACCTGTCCTGATCCTGCCAGATCCAGAAAAAGACTACGTCATCGAAGCTGACGCTAGCGACCAAGCAGTTGGAGCAGTCTTGATGCAAGACCAAGGGAAAGGACTACAACCAATCGCTTACCTCAGCAAGAAATTGCACGGGGCAGATTTCAACTCCCCGATTCACGACAAAGAGGCCTTAGCGATCATCACCGCATTCAGGACATGGCGATGCTACCTCAAAGGAAGAAAGACCACGGTATATACCAACCATTGTAGTCTGAAGTACCTAAAGATGCAGCATACTCTCTCCAGACGACAGGTCAGGTGGATCGACTTCCTCGAGACGCACTTCGACTACCATAATGTTTCCCATGTTTCAATGTTTCCCAAAATTTTCCAAATTTTCCAAAAACTTCCACCAGCCAGATGCGTTCAATGTTTCCCAAAATTTTCCACCAGCCATGTTGACGAAGCACACAAACGCATTCAATGTTTCCCGAAATTTCCACCAGCCAAAACCAAGCACAAACATGTTTTCCAAGGAAACGCGGTTGAGCGCCACGTTTCGCACATCTAGTACGAGGCTCGGCCGCGTACCTTGATGCCACAGGTGCAGGCCCCTGGCCTCCCGTGAATCACCTACTGAGGATTTGCGTTGGCTGTGATACGCAACGAAAACCCAACATGTCATGCTAGGTTGGGCAAGCCTTTGCCAGGAGCCCAGTGTGGGGTGTCCAGTGGACTAGCGTTGGTTACAACTTAGCTTCGCTTATTGACAGGGTCTGCCCCACGTTGAGCTGCTTGGCATGTCAATAGGGTATCTCAAACTTAGCCAAAGCTACATAAAGAGCGCATGTTCGCAATTCGCTGTCACAATTTGTGACTCAAAAACGGATCAAATCCTTACGCACTTGTTGCCTCCAAGAGAAAGAAAGTTGACATTTCCACTGTAGCAGATTTGGGAATATTGTCGAGACAGCACTACTGCCACGTTGGAAATACCTTGAGCCCTCCAATACAAGTGCACCTTTTAAACATCGAAGCATGCGCATATAACCCGCCAATATCTCGTGTTCGATTATAAGAGCATGTAAGCTAAGGTGTAAAAGTGATGTTTCTCTTTCTAAACTTGAAAGTACTAAGGATTAGAGCATTTTGGGTTCGTTTAGCTCACTCACTGTACATTCAGGTAAAAAGCTTTGCAGGGGCAACAAGCGACCCAGGATGTTGGCATGTGTTGGCAGCGAATCATTCCTTGTCAATTAAAGTATGATTCTGAGGTATTGTATGAATCGACTTGGATACAACAACTACTTGAATAGCTCGAGGGTCGATTGGACAGGATAAGGTGCTAGAGAGTTAAAATAGATGAAGCCTTTTTTTATTGCTCATAGTGACAGTTAGTGACAAAGTGATATTTTCAAGCATTACATTGCAACATATAGTCCTAACCAGCCATGTACTCCGAGGGGTACATTCCCTTATTGAACGAATGTACAAATATCGGTATAGTGACAATGACTATTTCGATGTACATTGGTACCGTGTTGCAGGACAAAACCTCCAGGGGAGGTTACAACCTCCGTAACCTCTGGTCTAGGTCAGTCAACAGTCGGAGCATTTGACTCTCAACTGTTGACTTCTCCAATTATCGCGTGCTCTATATGAGTGTAACGTGATAATGGGTAGTGCGAATTCACTTTAAGAGATAGTGTCTGTAGCGATACCTTTTGGAATGCTTAGTATACACATTTGGTTATTTTGACACATCCCTTCATTCCCGAAGGTATGGCACGTGGGTCTTCTTGGCAACTCCGCACAAGTCAGCACCGTACTGATACTTCTGTCGACAAGAAATCCGCTGCCATCTCACTGGTTGAACAGTAGGTGAAATGCACCTTGCCTTTATCGGTCTCGTCCTTCATGAGGATGTAACGGAGACCGATGTGTTTCATGCGGTTCACAAAGCCGGGTTTGTTGGAGATCGTGTCGGAGAGTAACTTGAAGGACCCTTTTGCTGCTAAGCGTGGGACCAGCCTCCAGGTTCCACGTTGCATCGCTTCCACTTCGGCATTCATGGATGCCTTCCATTTCTTAATTTCTGGTCCATGTTGGGTTTGGCGCACGGTCGTGGACTCGGTGTAATATTTAACTCCACAAACAGCTACGGCGAGGTCGAAAATGCGTAAGGTATTTTTAACCATATTTTCGCGAAAACGGGATTGAATCCGCACCGGTATAGAAAATTGCGAATCAGGCGGGGGATTTTGCACTCGATCCTACTCATTGTACCCCCCAGACCTTGCATATCGATGTAGCAAGAGGTGGTTTTGCCATTGATGGTTTCTTCCATGACGTCGTCATGTTCGTTGTCACCAGTGTCGACACAAAAGTATCGAATGATTTGTTTCAGTCTGGAACCTTTTTCATCGAAGAGTGGTTGTTTGCACTCGTGTAATTGCGTTGTGCTTGGAGTTGTTAGGATCATGCTGGGACACATGAATGAAGGTTGGCGCGTTGAAGATGCTCATGGCGATTATGAAGGGTGGTTGGTTGTCGATCTGATCCTCAAAGGCGTCTTCTGCCACATCAGCTTCGTCTTGTTCTGTTGCGAAGCTGTGCTCCCCTTGGAAAATGTTGCCAGGTGCTTGCAGTGCAGTACAGTGCTGGAGGAACAATGGCAACAGCAGCTTCTCGTAGAAGATGGAATCGCGTGATCGGGTCAATTGGTGGGTGGCAAAGTCGAGGATGGTCTATGCGTTGTACACCATCTTGATTCAATGTGAATTTCCCATCTTGCCCGGCCTTCTAAAGTTTTGGTTCTGCAGTGTAGGGACGGTATTGTACCATGCACCCGAACACTAGCCGAAGTCGGCCGCAAACTTCCCCTCGTCGGCGACATAGCAGTGGTCTCGTGGAAGTCGACCAAATTTGTCAACTTCCTCCCAAAAATCGACGTCGACCACTGACAGCAGCTGGTTGCACCTCTAGCACACCCGATTGCGAAGTCGGTTTCGTCCAAGCGATTGCGGGCTATTTTCTTGTAACAATAGAGCCCTGTGGAAATGGTTCGCGTCATCGTGAGTTGGCCAATCAATTCGGCCGACAGTAAAATCTCAATTCAAGTTTCTAGATGCACGTGATTCGACCCTAACTAGTCATAGCGAATTCACCCATCACATTTGGCCAATCAAAGCAAATTCACCCTGACACGGTAGATTTGTCTTGTTACATCAGGAAAGTTTGCCCTGACACAACAGATTTACCTGTTACAACAGCATGTTCTGCAGGAAATCCCCGTGGATATCCCCGTAGTCGAGTAGTTTCAGTTTCAGATGGAAAAACACATCTATGATGAATCATATAAATACTAAAAACCTTTTCTGATCAGTTAAAAGTAGAAATTCATTTCCGGAAAATCATATCAACAGTAAAAAATCTGTCTGAAAACTCAGAAAAACTGACAAAAATGTCTGGTAGCGAGGACCGTGCCAATAGAACATGTGGGAACAGTCCAAGACTTGGCCCACCCCTGCGGTGGAGCCCCCACTCGCGGAGTCCTTGCCCCCGCGCATCCAAACCCTAGAGGACTTCGTTAATGTGCACAAAATGTTGTTACTCGCAAGAAGGTTACCTCGTGAACTGTACCCGCGACTGTTCGAGAAGATAATGACGGAAAGATTCAATGCGGGCAGAAGAATCGAGATCGAGGAGGTGGAGGGCGGGTAGCATAGGTTCGTCTTGATGACAACTGGCGGGCTGGGAGTGGACACGCCGCAGGGAGACGTGTTTTTCGTGGACCCCGCGTGGTCGTTTCGATTGGGCCAGGCGCGGGAGCAGGCACGTCTCGGAGGAGAGGGGGGGAGAGCGGGGAGAGTGTGCGCGAAGTCAGGCGCGCGAACAGGCAAGTTTTGCAGCAAGCAGTGCCATGTCGTGAATGGGAGGATGTTGGGGGAGGGGGGAACGGCAGGTGAGGGAGTGGGGTATGTATACGAATGGGCACGCTATGGGAAGAGAGTGGTTGGGGGAGGGGGAGTAAGGTGAAATGTGTGACTTCGCAAGCAGACACGTGTGGAGGGCAGAGTGTTCGCGGTGGGGGCGGGAGAGAGAAAGGGGAGGGGGGGGGGGGAAGTATGAGAATATAAATGCCAACAAGGACGTGTTACGGCGTTGGGAGGGGAAGGGCAGAGTCAGGGGAAGGGAGAGGGAGAGGAAGGGAATGAGTGCGCAACAGACACATATCTGAGGGCGCAGCCTTCCGTTTCGCGCATAATGGAATGGCACGACACTCCCGCTTCGCGCATAATGGAACGGCACGACACTCTCGTTTCAAGCATAATGGAATGGCGCGACACTCCCGCTTCGCACGTAATGAAACGACACGACACTCCCGCTTCGCGCATAATGGAACGGCACGACACTCCCTCTTCGCGCATAATGGAACGGCGCGACACTCCCGCTTCGCGACGGCGCGACACTCCCGCGTCGCGCATAGTGGGGCGGCGCGGCACTCCCGCGTCGCGCATAGTGGGGCGGCGTGGCACTCCCGCGTCGCGCATAGTGGGGCGGCGCGGCACTCCCGCGTCGCGCATAGTGGGGCGGCGCGGCACTCCCGCGTCGCGCATAGTGGGGCGCCGCGGCACTCCCTCGTCGCGCATAATAAAACGGCGCGGCACTCCCGCGTCGCGCATAATAATACGGCGCGGCACTCCCGCGTCGCGCATAATAAAACGGCGCGGCACTCCCGCGTCGCGCATAATAAAACGGCGCGGCACTCCCGCGTCGCGCATAATAAAACGGCGCGGCACTCCCGCGTCGCGCATAATAAAACGGCGCGGCACTCCCGCGTCGCGCATAATAAAACGGCGCGGCACTCCCGCGTCGCGCATAATAAAACGGCGCGGCACTCCCGCGTCGCGCATAATAAAACGGCGCGACACTCCGGCTTCGAGCATAATAAGACGACACGACACTCCCGCTTTGCGCATAATAAAACGGCCGACACTCTCCAGTTGGTCGTGCCGATGGCGGCTCTCATGTCACTCTGTCCCTTCCTCGCCCCCGTCCCCTGCCCACCTCCCTACCTTCCCCCTCCCCCCTTTCCAAGCTAGTAGCGCCGCTTGCCTTACCCGCTCCGCCATATTTCCCCCTTTCTCCTTCCCCTCGCCCCCCCTTCCCCCCTGCCGCAGCTGGAGAACCT